TTAGCTAACTTTATAGACAAATTTATCTCAATTATACAACCACAACCATAAGCTCAACTTGATAACACCAAACAACACAGATAATAATCATGTAAGATCAATCATTTCACATCCCAACATATAATTTAACAACTTAACAACACAACATCTTCACAACGCTACATCTTTATGTGTTACCACACATTTTCAACTAAGAGATCTCTTACAACACAAGCAAACAATTTAAATGGCTTGACCTTACAAAATTAACAACAAAACAAGACCTTTCACCTTTAGGTTAGACCTTTCATCTCTAGGGCATACAACACAACTTTTGCGGGTTGCATCAATTGTCCCATGGCGGAGGCTAGGTGGGCCAAGTCACTGTCGAATCATGGCGCTTGGGTTGCTGCGCTCTAAGTAAAAAAGAGTTGCGCCCTAACTAAAAGCTATAGCTTTTGGCCTAGTGGTAAGCGCTCGATCCAACAATTGGTATCAGAGCCAAGGTCATGAGTTCGATACCCAGCGGGGCAATTGCTGAGGGGGAGATTGTTGCGGGTTGCATCAATTGTCCCGTGGCGGAGGCTAGGTGGGCCAAGTCACTGTCGAATCATGGCGCTTGGGTTGCTGCGCTCTAAGTAAAAAAGAGTTGCGCCCTAACTAAAAGCTATAGCTTTTGGCCTAGTGGTAAGCGCTTGATCCAACAACAACATTTGAATATCATTCCATTTTCAATACGACAATGATTTCTCAAAGTTTGCCACTTAGACTAAGAAAGTTCAGTACCACTATTAGGAATAGAATTACTTGGATGTGAGTCTATCATGACATTAATATGCATCAACTAAGCCTATATTAAATTAACTCATCAACTACCATCCAAATATTTCCCACCTTTCTAGTAATCAATTAAGGATTTTACTCACTAACTTCATACTTTACTCAGTTAGTCACTTTTAAAACTAGTATGGCTTAACCTTGCCCAATGGGGTATCAACTAAGGATTTAAAGGAGACACAACACTCCACATCAAGAGCCAACTATCTCAGAAGGATTTTCAATATTGGGCTCTTAGACCACCACAACTTATATCCACACAATAAAATTTCAACTTAAAAAAAAACATTATTTCCTTTAATGCTAAGTTCACAACACCATTTAACAACGTGCATCATGCTTATCACAACACAATTTAACTCAAGACAACATCTCAACTTATTCAACACAACTTATACAACAATTGGAATATTATCCAATTCAACTTAAAACAATTTAACATACTTTATTTTCAACTTTCTACATGATTCATTAATCATCGCAACATTATACAACACAACTTTGTAATAGTATATCTAATCATCTCAACATATAAAATAAAAGAACTAAGCATAAAATGTCATGAAACAAGGCTCTTGTTGGGTGAGGGTATTCTCACTGGCCGAGCTAAGCTTTTTGGAGCTCTTCACTTAGTGACATTACTCTCGCTCAGCGAAGAAAACGCTTTGTGACTTTCCTCATTGGGTAGGTTTTTGACTTGTTGGGTAGTCAAACTCCTCTAAAGCTCATCACTGGGCAGCCAAGAACTTGCTAACCTAACAAAATCTTCTGTGGGTCCTCTCGTTGGGTGACCATAGCTCGTTGGGCTAGCAAAACCCTTTGTGGGTCCTTTCGCTAGGCGCACTATATTTCACTAGGCGAACCTATCCACAAGACCATTTTCTTGCTGGAAGACGCATCTATCGTTGATGCCACAACCTCTCGCTGGGCCAAAATAAGGTTTTTACCTAAAGGAATTCAACTTCTCACCTAAAAATTTGGTCATCATTGACATAATCTCAACACGTAATTAGCCTTCAGTACAACATATATACATCTTATACAACTCAAAATTCACAAGAAAAACAACATGCATCAATAACATGATCCTAGATTATCATTTCTACTTCAAAACACCATAAAATCAAGGTTTTCACTTCTCAATTCAACACCAAAGCTACTAATGGCCAAACAACACAATAATCAACACATCCAATGCAAAATGATTAATCTACAAGTTTCTCTTATCTCAAATGCTCCCAAAAACAAGGAAGAAGGGAAGAAAACTTGAGAAATCCTGAATCCTCGTATGACAACTTCTCATTTTGATTCTTAACTCGTTAGCTTCAAATCTCAACTCAACTAGCACAATACTAGTTCAGGAAGGATTGGGATGCTCCTATGAAGTTAGAAGAAAAGAATAATTTCTTTGACTCCAGAGCTTATATCTTTAAAAATCCATCTCTAAAACTCTACGAAATGAACATATGAAGTTTAAGTTGTCAAAAATCTTATATATAGCTTTTCATATTTCTGGTCAACTTTGACCTTAAAACAAAATGACTTTAAGAAAAATCTAAATAATTTCAAAATCCTTAGAGTTCTAAAAATACCAAAAACATTATATCAACACAAAACATCATACAATATGCGATATCTAAAAATCACACACCACACAATACAATGTTACAAAATATAAAAAGTGGTAACATGAGGGAATTATAATACACATCCATAAACAAGATATATAAATTGTATAAAATTCTTAACCTTTTCCCTCAACTTAATTGTCATCACATATTTAATTAACACACCAATTCTCTTTGTCCAAATATAAGAAAAAATGATTCTTTTAAATTAAGTTTTTAGATTTAAATTTTATTTAAAAATGATGTTGGAAGACTTTTTGATTCTTTAAGTATTAACTTGACTTATATTAAGCATTGACTTGACTTAAATAAACTGAAACTCGAGAGACTTACTTTTAAATATCAAGAATTTAAAAATAAAAAAATATTATTTATTATGATTATTTTATTAACTAACCTAAACTTATATTTAAGGATAAATACTTTTAGGGTTAAAGTTATTTTTATTCTTTTGAATTTATAACGATTTGATAGGTCACTACACTTAATATAGTACAATATAATGTGGCAGAAACATAAACTACTCATCTACACTAGGGTTATCATGTAGCAGTCACCTGACATACACGCAACAATTATATGTATAGAGTGTAAAAAACTTAAAATAGTTCCTACCAATGTAACTAAGAACATAAAGTCCCTTAAGGGGTTGTATACATGCACTATACATATACAATATACATGTAATATACAAAATTATAAACAAAAGAGACTTATCGCTAGTCAGCGTCTCTATACAACAAATATTGCATCAAGGCAATATATACAAAATAGGTCACCTTCAGTGTGACCATCCACCAACATCCAAGCCATGAAGCTAATCCTACTTTGTTGTCACAACAAGTATGATAATCATAGTCCAACCACAAGGACAAGAAAGGGTAAACTTTTGAAAGAATCAACATAGCAATAACAACATAAATGTACAACTTATACAACATATCCAACTTAGGCAATATCAAGCTAATCCTTTGCACAACATAAACATATCAACAACAATTACATCTTTTAATCATCACATACAACTTACAACGAAACACAACTTAACAACATTTCAACATGTCACCAACAACATAAAAATTACTCAACAACTTACAACACAAACATTATCATCATGAACTACTTTAAACAACTAATGTGTTATCACATATATCAACTATGAAGATCTCTTACAACATATGTGAACAGTCTAAGTAGCTTGACCCTACCAAATCACTATGACTAACCTATCACAACAAAATTAGGTAAATGCAATATCTTAGGCCTTTCAAAGTGTCTAGTAAACAACTTAAACTGGTTTCTTAGATTTTGTCACTTAAAACTAGAAAAGTGTAGTATTACTGTCAAGGTAGAACAACTTAGGTGTGAGCTTACTACGGCTTTAACATGAACATCTAAGCCTCATATGGAATTAGTCTGTCAACTACCCTCCAAATACTACACACCTTTCTGGTAATCAATTAAAGATTATATCTTTTGACTTCATACTTTACTCATTTTATCACTTTATACGTATGACTTGACCTTGCCTCCATATGAATCAGCATTTTGGTCACTTTATAATCAATATGGCTCGACCTGACCCCCATATTGTACCCACATAAAATCTAAAGGAGACTACTTAAAATCAAACACCCATTTAGAAGTCAACTTACTTACTGAAGGGTTCTCAACTTTAGACTCTCAATATGCACCATAATTTATATTCACACAATGAGGTATTTTAATTTTTAAAACAACTTAACTCTCCTCTAATTTTTATGTATCTCAACTTCTCATGCCTTTATAACTTATCAACTTACTACATACAAGTTAAACAACACACATATTATAACTTAATAAACTTCATCAACTTTCACTCATAAACAACTTTAAACATCATCATACTTCATCGCTTACATGAATGAATCATTATACTTCAACAACTAGACAACTTAGAACATCTTTATTTTAGTAAGCCATGTCTAACGCCATCTTTCCCACGCCCATCGTCATTAAGGCAGAGAGCCTCGGGCTCGCCCATGCCTGGCCCATTCCACTTGCACTCAACATGGATAAGGTAGAGAGCCTCTAAGTCAATCATGCCTAGCAAGGCCAAACCTGTGCCCGACCTTATTATGGAAAAGAGCCTCTACTTGACTCATTTCTGACGTCAACACACTAGTGCTCGATACGTATAGGTAGAGAGCCTCTGTCTTGATCATGCTAGGTGCCACTCATCTTGGGACCTAGCATCACCAAGTTAGAGAGCTCCTCAAGTACTCATGCCCAATACTTGTGTCTTCACGCTTAACATGACTAAGTTAAAGAGCTCCTCACTAATCTACACCCGATGCTACTAATCTCATGCCTAGCATGATTAGGGAAGAGAGCCCCTAACTTGAACCATGTCTGAAGTTAGTGTTGTGAGCCAATTTATGCAAGATCCAAGAGAGAGACACATGCAAGCAGTTGACAAAATTCTCCAGTACTTGAAGTCAAGTCCAGGAAAGGGGTTATTGTTCAAAAGGGAAGATACATTGACTATGAAAATATATACTGATGCTGACTATGCAGGTTCTATTACTGACAGAAAATCTACTTCTGGGTATTGTATTTTTCTTGGAGATAGTCTCGTAACGTGGAGGAGCAAAAAGCAAGATAGAGTATCTCGTTCTAGTGCAGAAGCTGAATTCCGAGCCCTTGCTCAAGGAATGTGTGAAGGTACAACAATCAACCTACCTTGTCTTCTCCTTATCAGCATGGAATTCTTGGACCTAGACCTCAATTTACTCCTCAAGTCCAATTCACCTCCACCCAGCCACAACCTCAAGCCATGATTGCATCATCCTCCTCTTCCAGCAACAACAATTGGTATCCGGATTCTGGGGCATCAAATCATGTTACCAATGTTTCTCAAAATATTCATCAATTCACTCCTTTTGAAGGACCCGATCAAATCCATGTTGGCAATGGACAAGGGCTTCACATTAACTCCACAGGTGTTACCACTTTTCATTCTCCAATCAACCCTAAGTTTCAATTTGCTCTAAACAATCTTCTATTTGTACCATCCATCACAAAAAATCTAATCAGTGTTAGCCAATTCTCCAAGGACAATTCTGTATATTTTGAATTTCACCCCCACATTTGCTTGGTCAAATCACAGGACACTAATGAAGTTCTTCTCCAAGGCTCGGTTGGTTCAGATGGCCTGTACAAGTTCCCTGCACTCCTTCCTAATCCCAGTACGCAATCTGTCCAGCAACAGCAACTGGCCAGAATTTTTTCTGTCAATACTGCAGCAACAAGCCCTGTTTCCTTTGCCACTTGGCACTCTAGATTAGGACATCCCAATGTTGATGTAATGAAACATGTTTCACGGAACTACAACATTCAACTTGTGAGCAATAATAAATCAAATTTCTGCACTCCTTGTTGTCTTGGTAAATCCCACAGATTACCTTCCAATCTGTCCAGAACTATTTACAATACACCCTTTGATTTAGTATACAGCGATTTGTGGGGACCTGCTCCGGTTACGTCAACTTGTGGATATCAATACTATGTAACTTTTGTCGATGCTCACACACGCTTTACATGGATCTACCTTCTCAAGTCTAAAGCTCAAACCTTTAATGTTTTCAAACAATTTCACGCTATGGTTAAAAATCAATATCACCACCCAATCAAAGCTTTGCAAACTGATTGGGGTGGTGAGTATCGTTCCTTCACTACTTATTTGAATGAAGTTGGAATTCAACACCGTCTAATCTGTCCACACACTCACCATCAGAATGGAGTTGCTGAAAGAAAACACAGACACATTGTTGAACTTGGTCTCACGTTGATGGCTCAAGCTGAATTACCTATGCAGTTCTGGGATCACTCCTTTCTCACTGCCGTTTATCTCATCTATTTTTGGTGTTAGAAAGGCTTAGGCCCAAGTGGAGGGCAAAGGTTGCATGGTCTTATCATGCACCTAGATATAGCCAATCTAAACCCAAAGATTCCATCCTTGGCCACCAAGTTGCATCTAGGGTTCATTTGCATTTCATTTGGAATGCATTTGCCTACTCCAAATGCAACCCTAGATGCCTCCCCTCCTATAAATACCCAATGCACCACACCTTGTAAATACTTTGGATATTGAATATAAAGAGAGCCTTTTGTGCCTTTATATCTTTCCTTAGTCACCCTTGGCTAATTCGGCCACCTCCCTCCCATCTCCACCTTGAGAGAAACAACCCTAGAAGTGGCCTTCATCATCATGAAGTGAGCCAACCCTAGAGTACCCTTCTCAAGCATTTCCTCAAACACCTTCTACCCAACCTCCATTTTCATCCATTCTATCATCATCCACCCTAAAACCTTATGCCACCTTTGAAGAACTTGATCCTTGGAGTGAGGCATCATCTTCCTTGTCCATCATCTCATGTCCATGCAAGTGAGGATGCCATCAGAAGTATATTGGGAAATTGTTAGAGAAATTCAACATACAAGATGCCAAGATCGTAAGTAGACCTTTGGGGGTTCACTTCAATCTCATAATGGAGCATTCACCTAAGATGGATGAAGCCAAGGCAGTAATGGCTAAGGTTCCTTATGCATATGTAGTTGGTAGCTTAATGTATGCAAAGGTATGCACTAGACCAGACATTGCTCATGTAGTGGGAGTTGTTAGCAGATTCATGTCTAATCCAGGAAGGAAGCATTAGGAAGTTGTCAAGTGGTTGTGATAATGTTAATTTTTACTTACATTCTAGTACCAAATTTGTTAACACATTCAACTCTTTTCTAACTTTTGACTTATGTAATCCTCAATTTAACTTCTCTTTTGTAAGTAAAGACACTTTGGTTACACATACAATTTATACATATTTAATCCTCATTTTTTGTGATTTTTTGGATAGGTAATCATGTGGGAAGAAGTCATGTCAAAGAGAAGAAGCTCGATTGAACTCCAGTGAAGCTAGCTGGCATTTTCAGGAGACCTGCGCTGAGCCCATATCTCAGCTCGCTCAACACAACGGATCAGGCTGAGTTGATGGAGATTTGGCATCACCCTGGGTGTGTTCAATCACGCGCCCGACGCGCCTTCCGTCATGCGCCAAGCGCGTATTGTATCCCACTGAGCGCGTCACTTAAAGAGTTGCGTAGATTGATATAATTTTTGGCTGAGCGCGAAGAGAGGTGATTGGAAGCAGAATCAAAAGAGGAGCAGAGCGCAGGTCTGAAAAATAATAATAACAATAACCTTTTTGAAAACTGGGGTATTACATCTAGTGCCATGAAGGCACATCTGGTGTGATGAAGACTTTTACAATTGACAAAATCCTCAAATTGACTAAAACTTGCGATTCAATTAGCCAAATCAACATGCAACACAAAATTCATCATATATACACCATAAATAACTCAAAACCAATACAAATTTTAGCTTGCAAACAGATTTAAGAACCATGAAATTTTTTTAACACACCTTCAAGAATCAAAACTCAAACAATTCATCTCATCATCTGAACTCAATCAAAGATAGCTACCAAATCTTGAATTCTAATAGTTATTCAACAACGCAACTCAACAACAATCCATCATAAACTTCACCTAAAACAACATTAATTACAATAATTTATCAATTAATCACATAAATCATATAATTAGTAATAAATTAAAAACTCGTGTTACAATTTTTGGAGTAAAATTATTTTTTTCTCTAAATTTAAAACTAATCATTTTGGCATGTGTAATAAAAAAAATTGTTTAATCTCTTGAGATTTCCTGTAGTATTACTAATAGAGATAAATTGAATTAATTATACAATATCATCAACAAGGTTTGATATATGATATTTTCATGAGCAAAAACACTCTAAGGTAGGTTTTGTGTGATAAATTTAATGTAGATTTACTAATGACACTTAGATAAAGGGAATGAAATAGTTTTTGTTCTTCAAATTACAATATTAAGAAAATAGTTTTAAATTTAAGAGTAAAAAAATAAATTTATCTCTTATTTAAGGATTTAGCTCCTTTAAAGTGAAGAAGTGTACTTTAAAAGATAAAGTGCATTGTTAATTAAAAAATCAATGATTGATAATCATGACAAAGTCAAATACATATATAATAAAATTTAAAATTAATTATAATATCCATCGTTGATTTTTTAATCAACGATTATTATTTTACTTTATCCTCTTAAGTGAATTCTCTTCATTTTAAAGGAGTCAGATTCCTTTAAAGGATTAAAAGTCTAAAAACACATTTAACTCATATTTTTATGTGAAAAAAAGAAATATAATTTTCATCTTCAAACAATAGTGATCAAAAACAGGTTAGACCAAGCAATATGAAATTCATTTTAACTGGGCTTAATGTGTTTCTATAATGTAAATTATGAGTGTGACTAATTAATTTAATATAGATTACTATATGAAAACCTAATCTAGATCGTCATTTAAAGATATATTTTATGAATAGATAAATATATATAAGCTAACCGTTAAAGAAACTAACAATTTTTAACCGAGTGTTATAAGGTCTGTACAAAAATTAAGGAGTTGAACTGATGTTTCTAGGATTTATTTTTACTAATATTAAAATAATGTTTGATATTTAAGCAAAAGTCATACCTAATGAACACAAATTAATCCTTAGAATCATCTTTGAAAAATTGCATAAACTGTGTACATGAACTAAAAATAAAAGATATTAGCAATTTTTAACCCTAACTCATGGATTGTGGAAGAATATATGTACAAGATTTTGATGATGCCAAAGCAATTATAGAAAACAAAAGGTCAAGATAAAGCAAGTTGATCAAGAAGCAAAAATTTCAAGTAATATCTAGATAAGTCTTGACTACTTAGTTTAATATGTGAAATGAACTTTTAAAGTATTGCAAATTTTTACTTGGCCATTAAAATTAGAATTACAAGAAAACCTAAACTTAATCTTTTTGAATTTAAGAATAAGTTGTTTGAAAAGAAAACAAAAAGAGTGTTCAAAAAGATTTTACAAAAATATTTTTGACTGAAAATTAGAAGTTTCCTATAATCAAAAGTTTATGTAACAATTATATGAATATTTGTCTGGTAATCGATTACCAGTTCATGTAATCGATTTCCAGAGCAAGGAAACATCAAAGTTCGAAATTTGAATACAAAATGTGTTCTGGTAATCGATTACTAGTCATTGTAATCGATTACCAGAAAATGAATCTTCAAAAATTTGAATTTAAAAGATACAACGTTCGAAACTTTTTGAACTTAAACCGTGTAATCGATTACCAAGTCTTGTAATCGATTACTAGAACCTCTTTTCTGAAAAAAAATTATAGAGAGCTAAAACTCTTCATGAAAAGACATAACCTAAGAAACAATTGTCTATAAATACTTATAATTTTTCAAAGAAAGGTTACGAACTCTATTGTGAAAAAGTCATTTACAAAAACTTCTTGGCCAATTTCATTTGCATTATTCTAAGAGTTCATTAAGATCTTTAAAGGTGTAATATCTACTCTTAAAAGAGAGTTCTTATGAAATTTCATATTGATTATTGGATCTGTGAAGGAGAAAGGGTTGTTCTCCTTGTTGTTTTTGAATCTCAACACTAGGAAAAGGTATTCCAAGGTATTGGAGGATTCAAGTCTTGTAAGTACTACAAGAATAGTGAAAATCTCAAGTTGGAGACTTGAGGACTGGATGTAGGCAAGTTTGGCCAAACCAGTATAAAAATCAAGTTTGCAATTCTTCTTCCTTACACTTTTACTTACTTGTTATTTAATTGTGGTTGAGTAATTTTTATATCATTACATACATTTTGCTTAAATAAGTAAATTT